CCAGGTTTGGTTTTAAAAAGTCCTTTTGAGGAAAAATATATTTTTCTGCCCTTTTTAATATTTCTTCTCTGGGCTAACTTTCATCAATCCCCGCTTTGTGCCTTAAGTGTGAATTTATGACACACTTATTGGCACAACATTAAAATTGATCTGGTCAGGGAGACTTGGTAGGCAAGCTTTTAAACTGTTAAGCAAAATAATAATAATAATAAGACATTAATGGAGGCAGCAGAAAAAGATCCCTTTAGTGGCTCCCAAAAGGGGAGCTTGCACCCATAAAGTTCTAAAAGTCAGGGCAAAATTTTGTTAGGTGGAAAAGAAATTTATAGTATCCAATATTCTGTGCCAATCATTTTCAAATGTTGGATATCACCTTTAGCTTCCAGTCAGGTTTGCATACCTCCCAAAATTCTTCACAGCCATGGTTTTCCTTAGTACATGGTTGCCCGTTTTCAGGGGTTGTTTCCTGCCTTAGCTCTTAGTTCAGTGCATCCAGGTTTGTAATGTCCAATATGCCAGGCTATTAAATTTTTCTTTAAATTGCACATACTGAGCTCTAGGAATCCCAATCTGGGCTCACCAGTGCAAGATATTCAAGGCTGAAGTTTGGGATTTTTCCTGTTGCTTCCTTAGTCAAGGCATATGAATTGCAAATCACCTGAGGGGGCCTAGTTCCCTCCCCCTTGTTATCTGTTGGAAGTTGGTCCCACAAAGCTTTGGTGCAATAGAGCAAAAATCAGCCTGGGGGGAACTTTACTAAAGGTAGGTGGAGGGGATAGACTCAAGTGTAATTCTGAATGGTGTGTATGTGTGCATGTATGTGCAGCTACTTTTACAAAATAGTCAATACAAACATTCTGGAAAAGTTTTCCCTCCCACCAGATAGAAGTCCAAGGTGTTCAGTACTTGTTCTGCCACCTATTCCCAAGTGCCATCTCTCCATTAATACATTCAACTGTCTTGTTACAATACAAATGGGGCAAGAAAGAAAAGTTTACAATGAGTTTCCACCCTCCCCCCACAGTCTAATTTTCTCTTCTGAGGCTTCACATGGCACCAGGAATCTTTCCTTCTGCAGCTCTCACAGGCATCTGGGGAAATGGTAGGACTTGGGAAGATGTTCAACTTAGATTGCATGGTGGCTTTTTAGTGGATGGCTGGATTCAAAACTCAATTCCATGGCTCAAATGGATGGAGGCAGCATCTGGGTCTGTGTGTTCTGCTTCCAAAGGCTTGGGAGAGGGTTTCAGGGCTGAAAGATACAAGAACAAGGTCTCCCCCTTTTCTGGATGGACTCTCCCAGGAGAGGAAGACAAAAGGTATGGAGAACAAAGGGCAGGAAAAACAATTGGAAGGGAGGTAGCTTGCAGACAGTTTGAGAATGCTGAAAACTCCAAATAATTTTAAAAGCCTAATATTTTAAGGTGTGCAACTTTCCAGAGGTAGGAGAACATTTATTCTAAAATAGATCACATCGTTTTAGAGATTGAGAAATGCTTATATATTTGGGATAAGAAAAGTTTCATAGTAGTTTCACCAGTAAGTTTTAGGATATGAAAAGTAACTTAGGAAAATTATTTCCCCACACAAGCAGACTTGAGCTTCAAAAGGCTCTTGTAGATAGACACACATTTTTCAGGAAAAGGATAGATAAAACACATACAGTAAATGCAAGTGAAACTTTTCCAACAGATAAACTTAAAACAATCCCTCCTGGTAACTTAAGGCTGTTCTTGAGAGTACACAGAGAGAAAGAGGAAAACAAACAAACAAACATTTTTTTTTCTTCACTCTGTTTGTTGGCCAGACAAACAGAGTGAGGTATTTCCTTTTTGTGGCTTATTTTTAAGCATAATTTCTAGCAGAATTTAAAATTCTTTTTTCTTTGGATTTGAAACAGTTAACAGTCACATTTACCTCTCACGCACAGACTTTGACAAACATATATACACAAAGACAAGAGAACAGAAGTCTTAGTTTTACACATCCTAGTCATTCCCACCATAAATTTCAGATAACTCAAGTTAGGGAAGGCACACATTTTAAACATACCATGTGGTTGCATAGAGAAGAGAGAGAGAGAGAGAATCACTATTTCTTATTTTCCCTTTTAAGTACCTTTATTTAGCCAAATTAGTTTCCCAGCAAAGCCCTAGGCAAAGTCTATTTTTCTTTCATACACTACACAGTCGAAGTCTCCTTGTGAGACTTCTTTCCTAACACAGTCGAAGTCTCCTTCTGAGACTTCTTTCCTAACTTTGCTTTGCTTACAGGGCCTTACCAGCTAGTTGCCCAAATCCAATTCTTTCATTCACTCATTTCATTTCATTTTCACACAGTCTCTCCCTTTTCCCTAACAAAAGGTTCTGTGCTCTGGCCAACCCCCATGCTGTCCAGGTTCTGCCAATTAAACAGATCCTTTCTGCGGCTAGGAAAGACCAGAAGGAGCAAAATCCAATTGTGATTGGGAAAAAAAAGGTCTTCTCACTCACACAAACAGAAATACACACATTTTCTTTGTTCCCCCGGGGCTTTAAACTTAAAATGTAGAGGTAGTCACCTTCACCTTCTTTCCAAAGCAGCCCTTGAGCTCAAACTCTCAAAACTCCCTTTACTACCCTAGCTCCACATGGGCAAGGCCTGGGAAACCCATCCACACACACAAGGGGGTCTGCTGCCGGCAAGATGGGGCTTACCAGTCTCAGTCCATTGGAGAGGTTAGCTTGGAGTCCCATCTGGGGTGCCAAATTGTTAGAAGTAAAGTCTTCATCCTGGTTCATCCAAGCCGGGAATAAATAAGCAAACATGGTGACTGCTTTGGGAAGGTTACAGTTTATTGCAGAAAGATGGTTCTTCAGGAAAGTGCAGAGGAGAGAGGAGGGAGATTGAGCACATGGGCAGTAGGTTTTATACCCCCCCTAGCCTTTTGTTTGGAATAGTTTCCTGTTCCTGTGGCATGAACCTTGAGGCTGTTTCTGAGTGTTTGTCTAGGCCTTGATATCTGTGGTTTAATTCTATTATCATATCCTGCTTCCCAGGTGATGGGGCTGACTCCTAGAGTTTGGGTGGGGTATGCAGATCTTCTCTTTTGTCTTCTTGATTGCTCTGGCTTCAACTTTCTGATGGTTTTACATCTGCATTTGTATAGGGCTAAAGTCTTGCTTGGGGCAGAGAGATAGATTTGGGGCCAGGTTTGGTTTTAAAAAATCCTTTTGAGGAAAAATATATTTTTCTGCCCTTTTTAATATTTCTTCTCTGGGCTAACTTTCATCAGCTGCTACAATGAGAATAAGTATGGCATAATGGTTTAAGATCTTGCATTGGAACCAGGAAGTTTCAGATTCAAAATCCATTTTCAACAGGAAAACTTCATTTGTTGATTTGGGCAAGTCACTTCTCAGCATAACCTGTTTCCTAGCATTATTGGGAAAAATTGGAAAAGGGAATGTGATGTATATTATTTTGAGTTCCCTAGAGGAAAGGTAGGGTATAAAAAAATAAGACAATGAAATAAATTAAGGATATAAAACGTAAAGACTGAAAACCTTATATAAACTATTTTTTGTTCCTTGAGGATATTTATACAGCAGTATTTCTGTTCGGGTTTCCTTACCTCTTTGTGTAATAACCCAACTGATTGGGAATTAATACATTAATCTATAAAAAAATATTACAAAGTTAACCAAGGAAAGGGATGACTTTTTATTGCCTACTCTTGAATGCAATGAAGAAAGTATTCATTGACTTGCAACATTAATTCTAGTGTGTTTGGCTAGCCAGCTTCATTTTTATATCATACATAAATTATAGAGCACTGAGATTGAACAAGTAACTGTCACATTAAAGAGCAGGTTTCAAGGATCATACTGGCACCTTAACAGTGCCTGAAAGTAAACAATTCCAAAATGAAACAAGAATAGAATGAAAAAAACAGAGTCTCTCTCCCCTCCATCCCCCTCCCCTCCGCTCTCCAACTGGGCGGAAGCGTGGGTTAGTTTATCGCTGCTTTACAGGTAAGCGGACGCCAAGTTGAATCTTCAATAAGCTAACACCGCTTTTGTAAAGGCGTTTCTAAAGCTGTTCTCCCCATGTTGGGGTGAAAAAAATCTGGTGCTCAACTGTTCCATTCCGCTTGCTTTACGTCCGAACGCTTCACTGCAAAAGTAAACCCGAATCGCGACTGCGCTCCATGTAGGTGGGGAAACCGGGGCTCGCGTTTGTCCCTTGGCACCAAGGTGTCTCCGGGTAACGGGTGGGCGCGCACACTAAAAAGTCATTTTTTGAGTCAATTCTCGGCCTCGCAGAGACGAGTACAAGATTGTATATAACAAACTCGTTCCCTCTTGTCGCATTCATTTAGAACCACGGTATAAACACTTCTCTATGAATCGGGAAAGTATCTGGTCCCTTGTGCAATTATGACTTACTCTATTTTTAAATACTTTACGTGAGCGTGAAAAATATTACATAAGTTTCTGAGATACTAGTAGGCAAGGGTACGTTCGTTAAGACACGTTTGGCTTCCGATGAACCACGAACTGGGAACCCCTCGGACTAAGTACTCAAGGAGGACCAGGTTAAATTAGGGTTGGCTGGTTGTAATTTAATGCATCATGAGGACGCAACTACAGTCTCACGATTTCTCGCGTTTCGGAGCTTTTGCCCCTCACGAGATGGCTGCCATAACTCTTACCCCTTTCCCTTTCCCCGGTTGGTCAGCGCGTTTGCAGATACCGCCTTCTCCCTGCCGTCGCGCACTGATGAACGCATCAATCCTCATTGCCACGTCTCTTCAGGACAGCAGCGTTTACACCAGTCGCTGCGGCCACAGCGGAAAAAGGGCGACGCGGAGGGAATTGGGAGGGCTGCGCTAGGCCCCCTCCCCAACCTGGCGGGCTCCCCGACCTGGCGGGCTGGTGGTGAAGGCAAACTGCTCATGGTGCTGTTGGAGAGGCGGTGAGTCGTATTTGAATGGCCGCCTCCTCATCTCTCTCCGTGGTGTATGGTGTGTAACCGAGACACCCCGTTGTAGCCAAGCACGGCCCTGGGGCTTGGAGTAGTGGAGGCCGCCGTCGTGCTTTGCTTCTATCGTTGCTGCTCGGCTAAGAGAGCTGTGCTTTATCCCGCTGCCCCTGTTTCCATCGCGTTGGGTTAGTGAACAGTTCTACTCAGTTACTGGTCCTTCCCACTTTCTTCTTCAGGGCTTTTCCTTTTCTCAAACATTTTAGGATCTTCCTTGCTCTTTCTTCCCCTCTTGTGTTTCATTAGCTCTCATTCAAGCAACTTTTTTGGTTGAGAAGAATAAAATACTTATGTAGGAAATAGACTATCTTATATAGAAACATCTAGCTGCACTTACCTAATTTCAGCAGCTAAGATCGGACCTAGTCACTACTTGGATGGACGACTTCCTGGGAAATCGAGAGCTACGGGCTAAGATTTGGGTTCCATTTGAAGGAGATTTTACTTTCGTTCATTGTTGATAATGAAGAATGTTCCTGTTACTGTATGTCGTTCTTTTGTTGGAGTCTGCTTTAACTTGTTAGAAATCCAAACTTGCAAGATGTGGTTCCACTGAGTAGTGCGACATATGCATTTAATTGTTTCTATAACAGTTATGTGACTTATATAAATTGCACTTCTGTATACATTTGGGCAGGACATATCTTGAGAGTATAACGTTTTCTTTTAAATACAGGCAGTCCTGAAGTTACAACAATTCGTTTAGTGACAATTCAAAGTTACAAGGAGCTATTTATTTTCTGTGGAGAAATATTCATGAGTGCTTTTTAAAATAACATTTACTTTATTGTGAATGATCAACAAATTAACAAAACAGCTATAAATATTTTTATTTTTAGAAGCAAATTCTGTTTGTAATGTGCTTTTTTTTTCAAAAACAAAAGTATAGGCAACTTTTACTACTATTGGCTTAATATAGTTGCTTTCATTATGACTGGAAATGACACTTGAATGTGTATCATATTTAAAAGTATAGAACTGACAAGCAATTGGAGATGGCATATAGATACAGTAGGTGTAGATATAGGTTCTCCTGTTTGAGCAGGAGGTTGGACTAGAAGACCTCCAAGGTCCCTTCCAGATTCTATTCTATTCCATAAGTTTACATAAACAAATCCTCACATGTCAGGAAAGAATTATGGGATTCAGAATATTACAATACAGAATCTTTAAAATTGAGATTGCAATGGATGTGAACGTTGCATATTTGAACATGAACTCCGGATTTCAGTAAAGCCATTTTCAAAGAAAAAAACTAAATGGTTTGCCTTTTGTTCTTTAAATTCCTTAATTTCTTTGAGGATCTCATCAGCTTCATTCAACCATGACTTTCCATCGAGCTCAAGCCTAAGGACAACAGAGTAAAATTCAGTTGAGTCCAATCCTGTATTTGCTTATACTTAACGGATAGATCTTGTCAATATTACAGCTATAACACTCTACCTTAACAGATTTTTTTCTAGGATGTGGCTATCTTGAACTCCTATCTATATCAGGACTGGGCAGTCTTTTGATTTGGGCTTCTCTCTGGAATGTACTACATCCTCCCTAGGATAGCTTCTCCAGGTGCACATTCTGTCACACTTTCTTGATGTTCATTTTTGTCTTACTCCATTTCCACTTCATATTTTCAGTAATTTGTGCCTTAAATCACTTGATTGGACTAATTTATATGAGATTGCTGTAAAGATGATACAGTAGCAGCAGCTGATACAAAATATAGTGGCACAATTATTGGCCCTGCCAATATAGAATTACAGCTACCGTATATGCCGGCGTACAAGGCGACCCGGCGTATAAGACGACCCCCGTCTTTATCACTGAGCTGCATTCCTAGAACGTCGTCTTATACGCCGGAAGCTACCAGTATTTCCGGCGTATAAGACGACTCGGCGTATAAGACGACCCCCGTCTTTGGTGCCGATTTCAGCGCTCGCGGAAGTCGCCTTATACGCCGGCATATACGGTATATTAGTTTTAAATATTGATTGCTGATAGGCTTCTAGGCTTAAAGGTTCAAAGTTATAAAGTTGGGAGGGACTCTAGAGATCTTCTAGTCCAGGGGTAGGCAACTTTGGCTCTTTTATGACTCGTGGACTTCAACTCCCAGAATTCCTGAGCCAGCATGGCTCAGCTTGGAAACCTCTCTCTGTCCCCTCAGCATGGCTGGCTCAGGAATTCTGGGAGTTGAAGTCCATGAGTCATAAAAGAGCCAAGGTTGCCTACCCCTGTTCTAGTCCAACTCATTGCCAAGCAGGAGATCTATACTATTCCAAACAAATAGCTGTCCAATTTCTACTTAACCTCCATCTCAACAAACTATTCCACTGATTGGTCTCATTGACAGGAAATTTCTCCTTAATTCTAGGTTGTATCTCTCTTTTATGATATTCTACCCATTGCATCTTGTGATATTCTGCCCATTGCATCTTCAGGTGCTTTGGAGAATAACTCAACCTCCTCTTCAGTGTGATCCTCTCAAATACTGGAAGACAGCTGTCATATCACCCTTAATTCTTCTCTTTATTGGACTAGACATACCTGGTCCCTTCAATTGTCCTCTAATCATCTTTGTTGGTCTTCTCTGCATTCTTTCTAGAGTCTCAAATTTTTTTTGTATCGTGACCAAAACTGGATGCAGTATTCCACATGTGGTCTTACTAGTGTAGTATAAAACGGTATTAACACTTCACGTGATCTTAATACTGCCCCTCTGTTGATGCAGACTAGGACTGCATTGGCCTTTTTGGCCATTGTGGAACACTTCTGGCTCATACTTAAGTGATTATCCACTAGGACTCCTAGATCCCTTTCACATTACTGCTATTGAGCCAGGCACCACCTATACTATATCTGTGCATTTGGTTTTTCTTTCCAAAGTGTAAAATCTTCCTTTTCACACCACTGATTTGCATTTTGTTGGATAGGGCTCAGTTTTCAAGTCTGTCAATATCCTTTTGGATCTTGATTCTACCTTCTGAAGTGCTGGCTATTCCTTCCCCAGATGTCATCTGCAGATTTGATGAGTTTCCTTTCTATGCCTTTGTGTAAATCATTGATGAAGATGTTGAAGGGTACTGGGCTAAGACAAAGCCTTGTGATACTCCGCTGCATGCTTCCCACCATGTTGATGTAGTTCCATTGAGAACTACAAGTTGAGTGTGATTGGTTAGCCTGTTACGAATCTATCTTGTAATGATGCAATCTATTCCACATTTTTCAATCTTACCGAAGTAGACTACTTTATCAAATGCCTTACTGAGGTCCAAGTGTACTATATCCACAGAATTTTGCCAGTCCTACTAATTTTGTCACTTTGTCAAAAAATGGAATAAGTTTTCTCTGGCATGACAAACCTAGGTTGGCTTTTAGTAATAGCTTTGCTTGTTTTTAGGTGTTTGTAGATTTGTTGCTTGATTATCTTTTCCAGGCTCTTCCCAGGGATTGATATCAGATTGATTGGTCTGTAACTTCCTGAGTCCATTTTTTTCCCTTAGGAAAAAATATTTCAGAGTCAGGCAGCTAGAAAGTGGAAAGTTTAGCCATAAAAGCCAGCTAGATGACTTTGGGCCAGTTATTCTTTCTCAGCCAACTTATCTCACAGGATTGTTGTTCTGGGGACAATAGGAGGAAGATGTGTTGGATATGTTCATTGCCTTGAGCTATTTGTATAAATAATATAAATAAAAAATAAAAAGCACTGGCCATTATCTGTAAAGCTGTAAAATGGTACCAGGATATATGAGGCTCCTTTCCAGAACTGAATCTGCCTGTCCAGTCTGCTCATCAAGAGAGGGCCTAGTAAAAGTTCCCTGCCTTCATGAGGCTTTCAGGTGGTGGCTGACAAAACAGGCCTTTGTCATAACTTCCACCTTGTAAAATGTTTTCTCCCAGAATATATGCAGCCCCCTCCTTGCTGCAATTCTGGAAACATGTTAAAAATTTTATTTCAGTATACTTTTGGTTGGCTGTGAGTACCTATCTTAGATTTTGTTTGAGTTTTTGTGATTATTTGTTGTTTTTGATTGATATTATTTTGATTGACATTATGTTTAGTTTTCTTTTTGATGATATTGTATACAGCCCAGATTCACTTAAGATAGGTTATAAATGCTGTAAAATAAATTCATAAATATTTGCTCATTCCTCATTCATTATTTCTACCTGACCAATTAACTCAATGAACTTTTTGTATTGGTTGCAGTGCATCCTACTTTATTCAGCTTTCAAGTATTTCTCTTGATATACTATCTCTTGTCAACAGATCGAACTGAACAGAAGCACATTCTTATTTAGGGCCATTTTTATTTCTGCTGAGAAACATTCATTGCTTGAAAAAGAGCACTCTGCCATTTACCATCCTATCTTAAACATTCTCATTTTTCTATCTGCCATGGTACCCAAAGTCATCTATTTGTTCTAATTTGTTATTTAAGTTTAGCTTGCAATTGTTTTTTGTTGTTTAATGCAATTTTTCACTAATGTACTAATCGTATGACTTGTACAAACTTTGTTTTATTGCAAAAATAGCCAACCCTACCATTGCTAGTAAGCTGTATGAATGCAAATCTTAAGATCAATGTGCATTTCCAAAATATGCTTTGATTGTAATATGATAAAGCTTGCTTTCAACTCTAAATCTTCAGTTTAAAGTCTGTAAAAAATCTCTTATAATACAGAAATATTTCTATTGTATTAAATAATGCAACTTTAGATTTACAAACTTTGCAATTTGAAATAATTTAAACCTGTGTTCCAAATTATAAATTTTATAATTTAAAACCACTGTTCTAATAGTTCAGTGAAATTTTGATGTATTCCGTTTTTAACAAATTAATATTAAAGCATAATACTTAAAAAATCATGCAACATCTTTTTTTTATTGAAAGTTTTTAAATTTTACAAAACAAATCCCTTCCCCAAACCCCCACCCTCCCGTACCCTCCCCCATCTTCCCCAAACCTCCCATACCCTCCCTCAACCTTTCCAGAGCTGAGTACAGGCTTAATTAAAATTTTCAAAGAAAATAAAAAATAGAAAAAAACTTAAAACACATATAAATCCTAAACAAATCTAAATACCTTAAATTAAACAAATTATCTTCTCTAAAACATAATAGTTGCAAACATTAAACACACATTATAATATACTTTAAACATTTTCTAGTATTGTACTTATAGTATTATCCATCATTCTATATAGAATCCCCAAAACACAAATTTAAACTTTACTTTCTTTAAATATCCATACCTACAATATAAGATCTAATCTCCCTCTTTCTTTACTCTAGAGCACAAAAATAAGCATATAAACATTCATTATACCATTAAGACTGGATACTCTTTTGAATAGTTAAACTAAATACTTATATTTAAACTTCTTATCTAAAATTTTCGTTCAATCTCCATAATCTTCTCTCCTATCAAGAAAAGAAAAAACTTAAAAAACATATAAATCCTAAACAAATCTAAATACGTTTAATTAAACAAATTAGCTTCTCTAAAAGATAATAATAATAATAAATCCCATAAACATAACTTAACACATTAAAATTCCCTTATACCTGTTTAAATCTTTACCAATAACAAATTCCTCCACAGTAAACACATTCCTTCTCTTATCCATAAACCTCTTAAAGGTAATTCCAAAAAGTTTGTAAATCTTAGTTCTCCCGCAATCTCAATAGTCTTCTAAATACTTAAACTAAATACTTAAACTTAAACTTCTTATCTAAAATTTTCATTCGATCTCCATAATCTTCTCTCCAATAGCCAGTTCCATCCACTGTAAACACAATCCTTATCAGTCTCTCTTGTCCATAAATCTCGAAAGAAGTACTTTAAAATCTGCCCTTAAAGGTAGCTCCAAAAAATTTGTAAGTCCTGGTTCTCCCACAAACTCAGGAACCAATACTTGTGAGGCTTCCTTAACCTCCTTCTTCTGTTGGTCTTTCTCTTTACGTTTATATGTTGCACAAGTTGTCCTCTGCTCTTTCATCTCGACTTGTTGAGGCCCCTCAAACTGAAATTTCCCATTTTTAATTAACATAGGCTCTTCACACTGCAATTCTGCCCTTAAAGGTTGCTCCAAAGAGTTTATAAATCCTACTTCTCCCGCAGATTCAGGAACCAATACTTGTGAAACTTCCTTGACCTTCTTCTGTTGATCCTTTTCTTTACAATTGTATGTTACACCAGTTATCTTCTGCTCCTCCATCTCTACTTGTTGAGGCCCCTCAAACTGAAGTTTCCCAATTTTCATAAGTGTAAGCACTTCAGATTGCAATTCTGCCTTTTTATCTTCCAAAGCTTTAAACGTGATAGGTGGCGATGAACATACCCCCAGGACCGAAGTATAAAAGTCTTTTGCTTTAGAAACAGTATTAAGACTATAACGTATCCCCAGGTAATTCACCACCATTCCAGTCGGAACATCCCATCTAAACAAAATTTGTCTCTTTTTAAGTTCGTCTGCTAAAAAAGCAAACTCCTTTCTTCTTCTTAAAATTTTAGATGGGATCTCCTTTAAAATTATAACATTTTGTGAAGCAATTTGAAACCTCTTCTTATAAAAAGCTTGTATAATTTCATTGCGCAGGGATCTTTTCCCAAAGTAAATTACCACATCTCTTGGCAAATTCTTTTGCTCTGCCACCACAGAGTTAACTCTAAATGTCTGTTCAATTTCACTAAGTATTTCCTCTTTTTCTCTATTCAAAATCACAGAAAAGTCCTTTGCAACCATCTCTCTCAGATTTCCTTGCACAGACTCACCCAAACCTCTGATTCTTAAAGCATATTCCATTTGTTTATATTGAAGCATAAGAATCTCATCTTGAAAATTTTTCATCTCTTTTTCCATACTTTCAAATTTTTCCGCCATCAATTCCACTTTTTCTACTACTTCTTCTACGCGAGAATTCAACTTTTCAAGAACAGAGGCAACTCCTTTTAAAGCCAAAACTATCTCTTGCCTCAAAGTCTTATTGTTTTCCTCTAGAATCTCTTTCATTTCTCCCCTGATTTGAAGTATAACATCTCCCATCATATCTTGCAAATCCTTCACCATTGTTGACTATGGCAAAGAAGAAGATGAGGCTATTAATTTAGGTTGTTGCGCTGATGATGACACCGAAGAAGAAGCCACTTTAGAAACTGTAGGATTACTGGACGCTTTGGAGCCATCTTAAAAAAATCTTTACTCCTTCTTAGAAATTGCAAAAATTAAACAAAGGAAAAAAAGAAATTAACTCCATAAAATAAAAAAAAATCCTTCAAGAGGAGATCATTATAATAAAAAAAGGAGTTCAAAAAAAAAGAAAAGAGAGAAAGAAAAAAAATAATTAAATAGAAAAAATCCATTCCATTTTTTTAAAAATACAAACAGTACAAAAAACAAACCAAAAAAGTACAAAAATAATAATACTAACACTCCATTCCAATTATTAAAAAAAAAACAAAAAAAAGGAAAAGGGAAAGGGAAAAAAGAAACCCCAAAAAGCCTGCCGGTCACCATTCTACCTTCCGAAAAAAAAACACCGAAAGGCTTGCCGATCACCATTTTACTTTCCCTTTCAGCAAAAGCACATCTTTTTAAAATTGTTTCTTTATGAATTTTTCTAAAAGTATATTTACCTTTAATTATTGCTTTTGTCTGTGGAAAGTATATATGATATAAGATCATATTCAAATGCATAGACTGATTACCACCACTGTTAATCTTAGTTGATAAACATAATTCATTTTTATTTAATCGTCTTTCAATAAAAACCTTTCAGAAGTTCTTGAGCAGCTGCTGCACTTTCCTTTGTTTTAGAAAGCTTTGTGGCATAATTTGCTTCCTTCTCATTTGTAGATTTGGGAATTTTTTCACGTTGTTACATAAGTATCAGGGCAAGAACTGCCAGAGGTGGAAGAGGTGGATTGCTTCCTGGTCATGCCCGGTGGAAGGAGGGGACCCAGCCGGCAGCAACTAAGCCGTTCAGCTTTGCCTTCTCTTCAGACATTAGTTGGTGGAAACTGTGGCAACGGAACAGGTCTGAGAAATAGGTAAATCTAAGTCTAACATTGTGCTTCTAAATCTATTTATTCACTATTATCATTGGATATTATTACATCCAAAAGAGTACCAGCCGTTGATAATTTCCCATAACCTTGATTTTTAAGGGAGGCTTTTGCCCTGTGTTCAGCGTATTGTTTTGACACCTTATTTATCTCAGTATGACCAGAGCAGGACAGCCTTGATGTCTGGGGTTTAACTTGTATTTTATTGAAGGCTCCAATAGACAGGCAGTAATGTAAGTGGACAGTTTATTTTTTCCAATTATTTCTGTTTTGGGGGGGAGGAAAATTTATATAACTTTCATAGTTTGTTAATCAGTCTTTTAAAACATTTGAAGTTTTGCAAAAATAAATTGGGCTGCCTGCAATTGCCAAATGCCTTTATATTCAGCTAAAGCATCTTCTGACTTAACAGTTGATGCAGTAGAAGCATCTGAAACCTAAACCTAAACTAAGCATCTGAAACCTAGTAACTATTGTTACTAGGAAAAAATGGAATTCCTAAATCTCCAGTTAATGCATTGTGTAATGGAAAACTTAATCAGATGATGTAGTATATCGTCCATAAAAGCTTATACCATAATATTATTAATCTTTACATCTCCATATGAATCTCTGTTGATTGCATAAACCTATGTTATTGAGTTCTAAAAAATCTGTTGCAAATCTATGTTATCAAACTAATAAACAATTTAACATCTAGATGCTAAGTACCATTGTTCAACCAGTGGTAACAATTATTTTTGATTTCAGGAATGGTAGTACTCTCAGTCTTTCTGCTCCTCCTATCACTGCCCTGATTACTCCTGAGCCTGTGAGACACTGCCGAATCCCAGAGCTCCCTGTGGATGGAAACCTTTTATTTGAATTCCTCTTTTTCATCTACTTGCTGGTGTCTCTTTTCATTCAATATATTAATATTTACAAGACCGTCTGGTGGTATCCATATAACCACCCTGCCTCCTGTACATCACTGGTGAGTTCATCTTTGCTTACCCATCCCAGGATTAATGAGTCTCTAGTTAATTAATATATGTATATCATGAAGCACTAATCAATACTGTCAATAATTATATGATAGAAAAAAGAAGGAATTGCAAGGACCTTGTATCTCAGTTTTGCAGACAGCATTTATGGGTTGTTGGTTCTTTCTCTTGAAACACACAACCTTTTTCTTATATTCCACTCTGGGAGAGTTATGGTAAATGTGGCATTTAATGTTAGGATATCAACATACGATATAAAAAGAAAGGTTGCAATCTGTAGACTATCCCTGATACTTTGTAGAATTGAATTCATTTTGATCTGAAAAATACCCCCCTTCCAACATGGGAAAAAATGTCTTGATATTCAGTGTTTTGGATTGTTCTCTCAGATATGCATATTGCAAGAAATTGGGTAAGAGAGTTAATATCTTAAAAAGTAGAAATAAAATTCAAAATGATTTTGTTACAATAGAGAAATTGGTTAAAATTCATAAAGTGAATAAAGAGAGAGAAATCCAAAGTTCCTCCCTTAAGGACTCAAATGTTGGGATATCTGGAGAGTATGTATGACTTGGTAATGTACTTGTAAAAAATGTTCTGGAATAATATTGATTCCTTATTAGTCAGCAATGCAATATAGTTGATAGAAGGCAAATACACTTTTAGGTTGTGTCAGCAGAGAATATTATCATCTCTTGACAGCAGAATATGATCAGGGAAGAAAGATTCACATAAAGTTCCATTAATTAAGTTTAATGTCAATAAATAGTGTTTTGGAATATAGAATCTTAGAAACTGAAGAAGCAAAGTGTTCACCTTCATTTATGAGTGATGAATGGATTTTGTGAGTTGTTTGACTCTTGTTCCCAAAAGGCAAAACTAAAGGGCTAGATATCTTTTTCTCGGATAAGGCTAGCACTGAGACATCCACTGCTCTTGCTTAGTGATGTTTGAAATCATCCCTTTTCTTTCGCAGCCTGAGTTCTTTTAAGCACAATTTCTGTATCACTCTATGTATTGGTGTCCCTTTATCTGATTTAGTCCTGCTCCATATCAAGAACTATGTACAAGTTTGAGCATCACACTTCAATGAAGGACTCAAACAGCAGGGTTCAGAGCAAAAAGACTAAAAGCTAAATCTTTAATCTCATTTAATAAGATTAAAGCATTTGGGCATTTCTAATCTTAAGAAGAAAAAATAATGAAAGGCATGATAGTACTCTTTCAGTTAATTCAAAATCGGTTCTGTCCCTTTTTAGAATGTAAGACACAGAGTAATGAATTTTAGAATAAAGTTCTCAAATTACAACAGTTTATTTAGTGACTGTTCAAAGTTACAATGTCATTGATATATGACTGTTTTTCACACTTAACAACTGTTGCAGCATCCCCATGGTCACGTGATCAAAATTCAGATGCTTGGCAACTGACTCATATTTATGAAATTGCAGTGTCCCAGAGTCATGTAATCACCTTTTGTGACCTGACAAGCAAAATCAATGGGGAAACCAGATTCACTTAACAACCATGTTACTAACATGTTACTAACTTAGCAAGTGCTGTGATTTACTTAACAACTGTGCCAAGAAAAGTCATAAAGTGGGGCAAAACTCACTTAACAAATGTCTCACTTAGTAACAGAAATTTTTGGCTCAATTATGGTCGTAACTCAAGGACTCCCTGTAGTATAAAAATAGACATAAATCAATTTATTAATTAATTTAAATAATAACATACACTCTTGAAAAAAATCATTAAGATCATTATTAACTGGACTTACGGTTAGGCATTGTGGCTTGACGGATGCAGAAAGATGGGCCTCCATCTTCCACGTTCAATTTTGCCCCTCGGGACCCTAAAAAGGGTCGAAAGTCGCCCCAGAGAGGCGACAAAGAAGGAGGGGGCCCTTGTTGATCGCGGAGGGGTGGTAGCCCTTCCGCTGGATCCGAGGAAGCCCTCCAAACCGGCAGGGGAAAGACTGGCTACATTCGTGTGGCCAGTCAGAAGCTGCTGACAACTGAAGATAAGCACTAACTAGCAATTTTTGAGCAATGTGGATGGAACTGGGTGAGACTTTATCCTCTTTTTATGACCTTAATACTACTTTTCTGGAAAAAAAGAATGCCCAAAGCAAAGAATCCTCCCTGATGAAAGAGGGAAGGGAAGTTTTTGCCCCTCTCCCTCAGGAAAAGAAAAGCAGTGAATTAATTGCTTTGGGGGAAAATAGAGAAAACTACAAGATCAATTTGGAATTAATACAGATATATAGCTTTGAAATTTGGGGATTAAAAGTACCTTTGAGACTTTTTTTTAGAAAATATATTTGAAAGTCTATAAAATAGGCTTGGATTTGGAAAGCTGGAAGATGTTGTCAACAACATCTAGTGGCGAATCACGGCACTACAATTTATTATGCTTAAAGGAAATTTGACTTGAAGCCCAGACTCAGATAAGACTCTTTGTTGTTCCTGGACACTTTCACTTTTACAGACTGCAGCTGGGAAAAGGGGGAAAAAAACTCTTGGCCTGCTTATCTGTGTTGGGGACCCTATTGAACTATAAAGACTACATACAAAAACAAAATGGGTGTTCCATACTTAGCCGCAAATGGTAAAAAACCATATTTAACACTTGTCTCCGAAGCCCCCAGCTTGATATGCCAGCAAGAAAATGTTATGAATCTCAGAAAGAAATTCATTCTATGTTGAAATTAATCCAAGAGACAATTGTTTTATTTCATGATGAGGCTAAAAATAATACAAATGAGATAAAAGAACAATTTTCTAACCTAAATTTACAAATCCAGACCATGACTACAAAGAAAGAACTAATAACCCAGAAAACAGAAGGAAAATTATAAGAAATGGATCCAAAGATGCAGGACCTAAAGGAAGGAATTAACAGAGAGATACAGACAAATGAAAAAATTAGAAGATGCAGTGATAACACCGGAAATGGAAAAGATATCTTACTTGTCAAGATCTCAGAACACATTTGAGGATAAGGAAGAAGAGTGATCGAACGGATCATAAAGCTGTTAGAAGAAATGCTGAATATTGACCAACAAGAAATGAAAAGAAAAACTGAAGGACAAAGGCTGTTTAATGAATATAAATGGGCTGAGCGTTCTTCCAAAAATACTTCAGTCAAATTCTCTTCCTCATTCCAAACAATATATACAAAAACAGAGGAAGAATTACTTGATGATTCAAATGCACTGACTTGGAAAGTTATTTGGCAAAGGAAGAAAGCTAGAGTAAGACTGAAGAAAATAGAGGTTTTGACCTATTAGATGGGATATTATACTATTAAACAGATGTTTGAATATGGTTAAGAAAATAGATAACTGTTAGAAATAAAAGTATTATAATTAGAAGGATAGGATTTGTAACTAGAATATTATACTTTGTTATGAGATGGGAAATATAAGAATTTTAAAAGGGTTTGAATAAGGGAAGCTTTTGCTTATCCAAATATAATTTATTATGAGAAAATTATAAGCAATAGAGATATTTTGAACATTGATGGGAAATTAATATTTTTAAAAAGCGGGAAAAATGATATTGATTGAGCAAATGAATTTTAAGTGTAAATACAATTGAGCTATGTTCTGACTAGAAAAGAAACTGACACTATCAATATTATGTATAATACCAGAAAAATGTGATGAAGTCTATATTTAATTGTATATGTATTAACAGTAACAAGAATTGTATTTACCCAGTGTGGAAAAATGCATACCACCAGAAGAAGAGAGGATTAAGGAAGCACTGGATGGTGTAATATTGGAGCTAGACTGAAAAAGTTAATATGTACCACTGAATTACCAATAGACCCTGAAAACATGTCGTTTATTAAGTACTCATGATTGTAAAATTAAAAAATTAATAAAATATTTATATAAAGAAGAACATTATTAACTTGTTGTACCTACATCTTTAAGGAGAGCCATAGAAATGCCTGTAAGCACTGCTACAGGATCCAAGGTCATGTCTCTGAAAGACCATTGTCATTGTCCTTGCCCAGTCAGGTTTTGGTAATAAATGCCAGGTCAGCTTGTTCATAATTTTGTCATGAATTAACACAGTCCTACTACAAATCCTCCTTCAGCTGACTGTTCTTATATAAAACCCAGTACAATCCAATAAAGTTGCCTCCACACAAATTCTGAGAGCATCTCCCAGCTTGAGGTTGGAGATCCTATCGATCCTCATAATGAAGGACAACTTCAGAAAGCCTGCTTATTTCTCATGTGAAAGAGAGATCTTCAACCCATTCCAGTTTTCCTGCAGGCCAACAGTTCCGGCTGGAAACCATACTAACACAGTCCAGCTGATCTTTCTGGACCAACAGTTGGGTATCTAAAACACTACCTGTTGCAGTTGAGCTTACATTTCAGTCCCTGTAAAGAGAAGAAGAGTTAACTTGGAAGAGATAAATGAGATCTATTGCTAAAGCAAGCATGACTTAAGTCAAAGGGTAAAGAAGGTTTGCAAACCTTTTCTTCCTAATGCATATCAGTTTCTCCCTACTGTTTTTATTTCTTCACTGGACAAAAAAGCAGAATACAGAGTCTATATCAGTGATGGCGAACCTTTTAGAGACTGAGTGCCCAAACCACAACCCAAAACCCACATATTTATTGCAAAGTGCCACGGCCGCATCAGCATTGTGGTGCCCTCGGGGGGACATGAAGGCTTGGCCAGGTGGCCCACTGGGTTAGCATAGCTGCGGTTGTCACGGCAGACTGGGTGGGCATGGGGTGGGCATGGCCACCTCGCTCATGGGGGGGATTCCTGTGGGGGCCGTGCAGGGTTGGGGGAGATCCAGGGGGTCTCTGGTGGGTGGGGTGGTAGGCAGGAAGCCCAGCATAAATGGGGGAGGCACGCAATCCTAGGTGGGACTGGGGGGGCCATGGTGCCGATGGGGATGGGTGTGGGCATGCTCTACCACCTCTACTCGAGCTTGCTAGCTGGCCGCTTTGCCTCTT